GACCCATTTTCAGAGTAGGGAACAGCCTGAAGTCACTAGGAACGAGATCCAGAGAGTATGGTGGTTGGGTGATGACGGGAATGCTTTTCTCGGCGAGGAATTGCTGCACAACCAGCGAGGTGTCGAATGCGACGGCTACAGTGCTATACCACAATTCCGGGAACTTTTTTACTGCCCTACGTAGATGCTATGCCGAACTATTTCACATATTCACTGGGCATTTGTGACTTTAAAATTTCGAGAACTTTTACATGACGGCTTTTGCTTTGCACAGCAGCACACAAACTACCCAATCCATCGTAATCATAAATGTACGCAATGCTAGTACAAACCAGCCTTTCACCAGTCTGCTTCTTACACTGCATCTTTCTCTATTTTTGTATGTGGCACTGGACTTTGTTCCCCTAACCATCAACTCATCTCAACAACAGCAATGTCAAAGTTCACTCTGTGCAACAATTATCAAGTGTTCGAAATTTTCAAAGTCCCAAACTAGAAGTGATATTGGTAACTGTACGGCTGGCATCATAATTCCAGTAATTTATAATATCCTTGTATATGTCTATATGTGACTGTTCTGTACCACCCATTAATTACAGTTATTAATGTCAGGTGTCTATTAAGCTAAGATACCAATATGTTTAGTTAATTTTAAGTAAACATGAATTAATGTTAATGACTTTTCTGAGGTCTGTGACCCGAGTCTGGCAGCAAAACACAGGTGAAGGCTATATTTCACTTGGATGCTCATGTTCCCTCATAGATCAATCAATAAGGTACAAGACTGGTGTTGATGCAGAGATCAAGAGTGCAGGTTTGAGACCCAAATCTGTATGTTGTATTGACACAAAGAACTCTAAATTTTGTCTACGTGAAGCACATACCAGACCAACTATAAATTGCTCTGATACTGGATAATGAGCATTTTTGTGAACTTTATAAATTCTTGTAATGAGGTTATGCCATAAAAAAATCATCAATAAGGAAGATGCTTAAGAAGCTTTTTCAAATGTTGAGAAAGATTCTAATGTGCCTGCAGCTAGGCTTAAATACTGAGACGATAAGATACCTTGGTAAAGAGATGCCTGCAGTTCTTGGTAACTGCAGCCCATATATCGCTGGGGGTGGCCCATTCTGTGATCAATCTAAACTCATACACATGCTGAACAGGCTCTGTGTTCTCTTGTGACTCCAGCCTCTTAATTTTTTCTCCCATATGGCTATGGCCTATCTTCAGTAGATCCTCTGACAGTGAGCTCTTACAGCTTTGACAAAAGGGGAGAAAGAAGAAAGATACATCCAATGTAGCTACAGCAACAGGAATCACTGCCCAATATGTGCCTTCTGTGTCGCCGTCTTCTGAAATCTTGGCAACCAAAGAACAAGACACCTGAATGAGGGAAAACGGTTCTGGAATGCTGGCTGTGATAAGTGTCTTCAAACTGACACCTTTACGGATTCTCTGTTCCAGCTTGATGGTTTGATTAACATTCATTCCTTCTGAGTTTATAGACACATGCAGTGACCAAGTTTCTGGACAGAAATCTTGATCTTCGTTGTTTTTCAAATTAATTTCAAATGCATACTGTGCAGCATCAGTGCCTCTGGAAGCATCATAAACCTGTAAGCAGGAATAATACACAATAATTATATTAATTTAGATACTCAGTCTGTCCTGTATAATTTCAAGATTTCAGTACAGAAAATTAAAATCATGGCATATAAGGGGATGTTCTCTTAACCTTTAAATGATGGGGATTTAAATGGCAAAGTGGTAGCAGCCCTACGGTGTTTTTTGCAGGTTTTTAAACTTTTGTGCACGCTCTACGGAAAACTTTAATATTATCTAAAGTAAACATGATAAATTGACAAAATAAAAGCCATATTTATTCGAATAGAACAGAGAATACATAAAGTTTTTTAAAAATGCAGTTAATATCTTAATTGCCTATATAGGCCTTAGTAAAATTACTTTCTTCTTTGGAAGCTCATTCGACATGATAGAAGCCATGGTTGTGAACTAATGACCACACAGAAAAATTTGTTTCCCCTATTTCAGTGGATACACATTCTTTTCACAGATCATGCCGAGGAATGTGAGTAGCTTTGATTAGGGGTCTGAAAACGAAGCCGAAACCCACTTGACAATAACAATGTTTAATTCTGTTTATGGTTATAGTTACCGGGTTGACAGCTCGTGTTGAACTTGTCAGAACCCTAGAGAAAGTGATTCAATATTTGCAGCCCCTAAAAGAGGCCAAAAGACGTAGCCAAGTCTACTTACAATGTTGCAAGTTTTGAGTTCCGCACCGGGAACGTTCGTAGGGCTGAGTACTCAACTTACGTTCCCGACAGGGAACGCTAGTAAGATAAAGGTTAACAGAGAAAGTCAGTTGCTTAGTAATATGACTTAGTCTACCGTATATACGTGGTATTATTATGAGATTGTTAATGATGTAAACATTAAACACTGATGAAATTATATATGACAAAGCCTATTCCTCACTTTTATAGAACAGAAGGATAGAATTTAATGACTTATGTTTTAAAAATGCAGTCAGAAGACAGTTTTTTATTCTCAAACATTGTTTAACTGGGAAGCCTGTCAAGTCAAAAAAACTCAGGGAATCCACACCAAAACAAATAATACTGCAATCCATACTGGAATACACAGGTTCCCATATGCATTCTTTGCTAAATATGCAGTACTGCCTAGCCTTACCTCACTTAGGGCTATCCTGATTACCTTGGCTCCCATGTTGTCATGTAATCATTCTTACTAAACAATGCATAGTCTTACCTACCCTCACCTTTCATAACCTAGCTTTAGCTGCACTAACCTAACTTAAATTATAACCTAAGGTTTGGCATAAGATTACGTGGCAAGAAAGGTGGAAGGACAGTACATAAGCAACCCAGCTTAGCAGTGATAAAACATAACAAATATATTTTTTAAACTAAACAGAGATATTACAGACATGTCCAGAAAAAGTCAATCACTGGTCCGATATATATGTATAAGAAAAAATACTTTATACCTGCACAGAAAGTGTGAATGTGTTTTGGAGAAGTTTGTCTCTCTTACTAATACTTATGGCTTCCAACATCTTTTCCTCTACAGCCATCTGTTGTTTGAGTTTGGTAAGGTGTTGCATCTTCCTGTCCATGTCGGCCATGACGCTGGGTGGAACGATAAAATTCTCTGGCTGGCAGGCTGGCATTTTAGTTCCCAGCTGAACACAGTACAATGTGAGATGAAGCTGTTAACAAAATAAGAGGTTTACAATAACAGCATGATGGGGATTTAATGGAATCAAAATGCTAAATTAAAGATATAAATTCAACATGAAATTTATCCTATCCAGGTCTATGGTCAGTCAGATATTTTAGATATTCTCACAGCATATGTCAGTCACCAGGCATCTGTACAGAACTCTAAAAAACAGAATAGCTTAATGAAGTAATGGCATTTAAGGGTTTATAATCCTTTATTACTAGGATCAGATATGGCAGCCTACTGGAACCATGTGTGCATGCATCATGAAGAAAAAACAAGCATAGTCATTTAGAAAGTGATCTAATTAAGAAAACAAGAATAATGATAAATAGAAATTAGTGAGAGAACAGTGAGCCTATTTCTTTCTCAAAATTTGCAAGCCTCATGGGTAAATATTGATATGCTGTAAAATGTGGTAATATAACATTACTTACAGTGACAACTAAGATGAAATCTGAATCAGGGACCAGGTCCATGGCACATACACCCTTTATTCCTGTCACCCTGTTCTCCACAACTGGTTGACCCCCACTACCCTTGGTCAATTTGCTGTGCCAGAGATCCACAACATCAGTAGCCACAATTCCATCCTTCACAGGTAAACATTCCTCCACAGACCCTGGCAGATACACCATGTGGTACTTTAATTTTTGCTGATCAGACATAATGTACACCACTGGACCACTGCGCAGCACCACCCCCACATGAGAATAGAGACATGTTACTGGGTCTGCAACAGAATGTGGAGGTTTCTCATATACTGAAGTGCAAGAAACTAACAACTAAACAGTGGTCTCAGGTTGTGACGCTGTGCAGTCTTGTAGGTAGTAACCAACATCCCTCCATCTTAACAGCTGTGAGAAGTTCAAAGCTCATAAAGTGACCAACAAACTAACCCTTTGGTAACAGAACATAATGGTTCAACATTATTAATAGTAAATCATATTACTGAACATGTTTCTGGTCCAGTTGAATCTGATATGAGGTTTTCATGGTAGTGAAGATGATGATCTGGGTTGGCACCATGTAGACTCATCAGTAGACAGATCTGGTTCATAACCAGTACCTTGTAAACACCCTGCCCCTCCCCCATGCACGCCACAAGTCCTGCCCACCTCATCCTCCTTGATTTAATCACTCTAACAATATCAGATGAGGAGTACAGGCGGTGAAACTGATCATTATGCTATTTTCTCAGCGATCTATCTTCTTCCCTTTTAGGTCAAAATATCCTTCTCAAAGACCCTCAATCTATGCCCCTCTCTCAGAATGAGAGACCATATTTTGCACCCATACAGCACAAATGATAAAATTACACTTTTTTAGATTTTAATCTTTAGACTCTTTTGACGTGAGACAAGAAGGTGAAAGATTTTGAACTGAATGATAGCAAACACTCCCTGAATTTAATGTTCTTGATTGTGTCATGAGTGTCATCCCCAAGTACTTGAATTCTGTCACATTTTCGAATGATTCATTAGCTATCCTTATATTCTGGTTCTGTCCTGAATTCTGATGCTGCAACATGATCATCTACTCCGTCTTTTCTGCATTTATTTGTAGACCAACATCCTTACTAGCCCATAAGAATGTTTCTGTCTTCACTTTTACAGTATTTATCACCCGACAGATTAATATCATCAACATGGACCAAAAGTTGATGTGTCCCATCAAATTCCAAACCACCCTGATTTTCTTGGACTTTCCTTATGGCCTATTCTAAGGCAAAACTGAAAAGCAGTGGAGATAAAGCTGCCTCCATCATCAATGGAAATGTCAACAGATGATGGTGATGGGCCAAGACCTACAATGATGATATGTATATTAAACTGATTCCTTGACAGCTTTACCCCTTTGAAGATGTGCCAAGTCGTGCAATATTTGTCTCAGTGGTGCCCTAAGTTCAAATGTCCTGCATGCTGTTACCTAGACACAGTTAAGAGTCCACTTTCATGTTTCTGCACCTCCTTTAGTTAAAACAGATTTTAAAAAGTAATTAAACATAGCAATATAACTAAAATAATTAT